TGTGTATGGCCTCGTTCGTAAATAGTGGCTATTTATTTATCTACTCAAAGTCCTGCCACCATGTCCGATTTGGCCATTTACCCATATAATCACGATTCCTTAATGTGAAAAAAACGGTTAACCATCCGATAGGTACATCTGCAGTCTGGCTAACGTGGCCTGAGTTTGTCGTCTTTTCATACTACCGTTTCACTATTTCTGCAATGGCTCTTCTTATAGTTTTGGATCTATTACGGTTTACTTCCGAATTACGTTCGAGTTTTTTTTCTTTGCGTTCATCCTTTCCTTCTTTGCAAAATATGCTTTGGGTACCCGCTTTTACACCTTCGCTTTTGGCTGTGTTATGATCAAAATTCTAAGCATGTGCTGCTAGCAAGCAGGACTTCCACACGCTTGTTTTTCAAACACTCGAAATCAGCATGTGCGGTATGATTCCCAAGAGGCAGAATAACTCTTCTTGATTTCCGTTGTAGTTTAACGTCCAAACTTATTAAACAATTCTTAAAAGCCTCACTAGTCATCCACTCATTCTTGTTAGTATAGAAGTGAATTGGCAAACTGTCCCCTAAAAGCATCGAGGCTTAGCACTTTTCCAAATATATTTTATCAGTTTCTGTTCTAGCAACTCAGCATCGTTATGCGATCCATTTTGTTTGGAACCTACTGTGTTCCGTGTTTATAGCAAAGGGAGTGGTCTAGCATGGCACAATAAAATATACCTGTTTTCTTGGCATTTTAAATATGATCTGTACAAAATTTCTGAAGCAACTTGAGCATCTTTTTAGATTTCATTTTTTTCTGCACTTACAGCATCAGCCCTATTTTCACCATCACATATTTTCATGGCATCTTGAAGGGAGGGCGATCAGGATTGTCCCGATTAACTGGCTTGGTTTTCTAGAAGGTGAAGGAAATTTTGATCATTTTCTCGATTTCGTTTTGTCCTCTAAAATTAACCGATCGAAAATCAACCGAAATCCTCTTTTATAAGTATACAAAGTTCCGGGAGAAGAATCTAAACAAGCTTATTATGATTACTTTGACATATCAGATCCATTCATATTCTATATCTCTTTTTAAGATGGTTAATACTTTCTCCTTGGCTTACTTTTAAACTGGGCGAAACTTTAGTAAGCTTCGAAGAATTATCTCTCCAGATGTTGATAGATACGTATTTGCATAAAATATTTTGAGTTCTATAAGAACGAAGCGAAAAGGGAAATCAGAATGTAGTAATGCATGGATAGTTAGAAATGGTCTAAGCTCTAATGTGTCCTGAATCCCACATTTTTTTATTATTGAGTTATGAGCAGACATTTGACAAATTCTAACCCTAAGGGAGGCATCTTTCTGGTCACTTTGGTCGATGACTAACTTCGTTGCGCAATCTTTTAAGAAGGCTTTGCTCTTTCAGGTCCACTCTATGGAGGATTTTACGCATATTTGACGGGAACACAGAACACGAAGGAAGGAAGAAGATGTGAGGCGGTATGAAAAATTCCGTTAGTGCGACTGCAAGTTCTTGTATTTACTTTTAGGCCCTCATGTCGAAATCGCAGCTATTTCAAACACGCCACTGGGTCCTATATTTGCTTGGTGTCTAAAGTTCTACCAGTTGAGGCGCTTTACTAATTGGCTGCGCATCTTCGTGTCTTATGAAGATACAAGACCTGGCTGGCCACGATTTGCTAGCAATCTTTTCCTCTGAGTCCCGATTCTATGTTAGACTCACTTAATTCTGTCCTGGTTCATTTTTGTCTTTCTACTAGATGGGCTCGTCAGGCGACTTGGGCATGACGAAACCGGTAAGAGTCTAAAATCAGTTTATGTATCTTATCGTTAGAAAAAAAGGGACGAGTTACTTTGACTTGATTGTTACTTGACCATTTTTATGGGGAGACAAGAATCTGGCTCAGATTTCGCCCCATTACTGTAAATTATTGCGCTATCTTATCGGGACGGCGTCGATGCTTTCGCGTGGCCGGCGTTCCACTGTAGAGCTAACACGAGTGCGAAGCCAATTGACGTGGAAATATTATGGAGACGGTGCCAAGCCCATTCTTCCCAACAGAGGGGCATTATGGCTGCTCGAAGGTAATCATATTCTTGTCCCCATTTCACTTGCGCAATAATGACATTTTTCAAACACCAATATCACATTTCAGCTGGCATGCTTCTCTTCTTCATGTCGAATGGATGCAAGCTCGGTGAGCAGCTCGAATGTCCTTTCACAGTCATTTTACATAAAAGAGCTGTATTTACCCTATTTCGTTTGAGATGCTGTTATGAGTAGGTATCATGTATCCATTAAATTTCTTCTTCAGGCTGTAATGGACTGAAGTTTCGACCACCCTTAGCTCTCTCATCAGCACCCCCAGCGTGACTCGAACCCGGGTACCAACTGTCACGAGTGCCCTTGGGTTTGACAAGGGGGAGGTGAATTTATAGAAATCTCTAACCTTCCCATATCACATTTGTATGGTGGGATTGTCGACACGGCAATGCTGTATTTGCTGTTGCAATCTACCACATTACTTATTTTCTTTTTACAAGCAGATTTGAGAGACTACCAGTCGATCCGATATAATAGGCGTATTTAACGTATTTCCTTTAAAACTATGTGAGAAGAAGGTGAGGTCGAAACTGCAGTCTCTGGATGAGAATACCTTTACGGAAGCAAGGAGTTGTGAAATTCAATGGAAACATGAGGTCTACCTAAATTGCGGGAGGATTCCCCCACCAGTTCTTCATTACTTTTCACGAGCTAGGGTGAATGCAGCTCTTATATCCGGTCTATGGTGGTCTCGAAATCCTACTCATTATGCTTGCATGGCATTTTTTCAATTCGGGTATGTTCCGAGACTATTCACAATTCTTGGATGAGAACTTTTTCGCAGATTGCTTCTAAACAGACACTCATGTAACACATTGACGTCGTCGGTTGTAATGATAAATACAGTTTGCCTGGCCTGTCTTGAAAGTCAATTCTGTGCTCTTGACCACATAAGCGTGTTCAGAATCCTGTCAGAAGTGTATAAAGACTAATGAACCTGCAGTACAGACTGAATGATAAACATTTTTGGAGACAAGGCGGCTCGAAAGTGATTAGCTTCATATCATTGTGGTAACATGACATTTCAGCTCTTATACATCACCGTAAGTGGCCTGGGCCGACAAATTCTTGCTCAAGAACTTCAGTTTGTCTCAGATCATTTATTACCTTTTCGAAATTGACCCTACACTCCTTCCACTGCCTCGAACGACCTAGCCTGCTTCCAGTTCTTATTTAAGATCTTTTGAGATACGAAGGGTAACTGGGTCTTGATTATTCTCTTGAGTTAACATTGTTAAAGAGACTTTCATTTCTTATAAAAGTCCGTCACGAAGAGATTTGTTGGCTGATTTTACCGCTAGACGACAGTCGATTCCCCAACGGCTGCAGAATAACGCAAATCAACCATCATTTTTCGGTGAGATCAACCAATGAATCTATTATTAACTCAACACCATCTTTATGTTACTCTTAAATCATACTCATCATAAAATTCATTGAAGTCACTCAGTCCGTCCATTTCCTCGTTTGAACGTGAACTTTCAATCCTTTCACCGCCTCAAGCGATCTGGACAGACTCAAGTTCCTATTCCAGCTCTTCTTTTGGTCTCAGACCATAATCTCCAAGACATTCAATGTTGTAATCACTTTGTCTTTGTGGAAGCGTGAACTATCAGTCCTTACGTCACCTTGAGCGATCTGTTTCCTAATTAAACTCTTATTATAAAGTCCTCCGACGCATCCTCCGGGCCTACCGGTTTCTCATCATTCCCTCTTCATCCAATCTTAACCGCTCGTCCACAATCCTGAGGCTGGGTTGGATCGGCGGCCTCACGTTCGATCTTGTCTTGGGCACTTGGCAACTTGGCGCCAAATTCCCTCCAGCCCATTTTTTCACTTATTCTTTGCTTACTTGCACTCGTCTGTTCGTGTGTGTGTGTGTGTGTATGTGTGAGTATGTGTGTCTACTTCTCTGCCTCGGGATTGTCACAGCCCCTGACCGCTGGATGGACGTTGGGGCTGATTCAATAAGATGTCTATTCCAGTCCCGTTGGGTCGCGTAGGTTGATGAAGAATCGAGTGTTGAATACTTTGCGCACTTTTTCAGAGCCTTGTCTTCTCAAATGACTCATCATTCGGGCTTAAATGAACCTGAGCACGTCTCCTCTGCAACACTGGCG